GGGCTCCAGTCCCCCAGTCCACCCCAGAGGGTGCTCCAGTCCCCGAGTCTAGCCCAGAGAGGGCTCCAGTCCCCGAGTTTAGCCCAGAGAGGGCTCCAGTCCCCAAGTCAAGCCCAGGGAGGGCCACAGTTCCCGAATCAGGCCTTAGGGGTTGATATTTCCCCCAAGTATTTTTCGGGGGGAGGGGGTTATAGGGCTCCGGCTGTAGAGGCTGGGCTGAGTGCCGAGGCCATGGAGGCCGCTCCGCCATGGCTCTCCGAGCTGTCTGATCCGCCATGGCTTCCCAGTCTGCCTGCTCCACCATGGCGCCCGAAATGGGTTCAGCTCTGCCTGCCGTCCAGTGTAAGCCAGTCCTGAGAGGCCTCCAGAGTGCACACCCCCCCTCACCATTGGATGTTGTGTGGCGCGTGAATGTCGTCTTTCCCCTCTACGTGTGATTTCCTGGTTCCTCGAATATTAATAAAGTCTCTGTGTTTGAAGTCAACTCCTCATCTCCTCATTCCTCGCTCCGTGCTCCTCACAGTAGCGGAGCGTGACACACGCCCGCTTTCAAAGTGCCGCTCCTCCTATATCCCAAACCTTATTGAGTCCTATACAGAAGGGAAATTATCGTTGTGGCAATTGTGCACAGTGTAACAATACATTTAAAACGTCTGTTTTTTGTCATCCAAGAACAGGTCAAAAATACAAAATTAACTCCGTGATCACGTGTGCTTCAACCCATGTTGTATACCTTATTCGATGTCCATGTGGACTTTGTTATGTGGGAAAAACATCTCGACAATTAAAACAAAGGATCAGTGAACACAAGAGCTCTATTAGGAGAAAAGATATGTCATATCCAGTTGCTGCACATTTCATTTCTTTTAATCATGATGTGTCTGCTCTACATCTCTTGGGAATTGAAAAGGTGTCTGTTCCACCAAGAGGTGGTGATATCGATACCCTTTTATTAAGACGAGGACTGTTCTAAAGTGTGTTTGCTGTATATCTAAGTGTCAGTTTGATTAAAAACAAGGGGATGATATTAAAACCTTGTTAAGATGTGCGTTTTCTGATAACCTATTGTGATTTTATAAATATAATAATTTTTGTATGTGAATAATGATATATTTTTCATTGGGGATGTTGTAAAGTGTTCTTCTATTGTATACTTGAGCCATTGTTATCTATTACGTATGTGTTTGTGATTAGTCCACATATGATTGTCAATTACACTCATTGGTTGGGAGAGTATATAATTATGGCTTGTTTTTAATTCTATACATTTGCCTGATGAAGGTCGGTGGACCGAAACGTTGCGTGTGATAAATAACGTTTAAGAATTAGCAAGTACTGATAGTGTGCAGGTTCGTTACTTATTTTTGATTCAACTGTTTGTTTGATTTTGTTCCCATGCACCTATCGTCGTTTCAGGTGTGCTGAGTTTACGTTGATTGAGTATCTGACTAAACTTAAAATCAGTTTTTAAAAAAGTGTTTGTGCTAATTAGTGTATTTATATTAAGCTGTCCATTGGACAGATGGTTCTTAAAAGTGAGATAAGCATTGTGAACAACATTTTATTAATCTGAAGAACAGTCTCCTGAGAGTTTCTTTCCTGAAAGGAAACAAAGTGGTTCCTCGACAGCATCACTGCGGAATAATTAATAAAACCAATAACACAAACATTTCATTAATACAACAATAATGTTTTCTTTATTGTAGTTCAAAATTGTATTTATAACCAACAAGCTAGAAGTCATGCAGGTCAAGAGATCAAGGTCACTGAAATGAAACTGCAGTAGCATAACGAGTATCCATTACTTGGTGATTCTGTTTTTGTTATTAGTCTGTTCTCAGAAGCACTTTATTTTACAGCACTTTTCTGCATGTACATACTGTATACTTACTCTAATAATAATTATAGGTACTAACTTCTGGCAAGTACATGTAAGTGTGTGCACAAACTATAAAATAAAGTGTTAAAGTGTTGTTTCTTTTTATTAAGTAAATTTCATTTTTAAATTTTACAATCACAAATGGATGGACAAAAAGTTTTCAATAAATTCTGCAAGAACGCAAGTTATTAATTTGGTGTTTAGCTGAGGCCTGGAGTTATTTGACATGTATTACGCTGAGTAAATCACTGCTGTGTGCTGACCGTCAAAACTGCCCACGGTTATATCACAGAATAAGTGTGTGTGCGTGCGTGCGCGTGAGAGAGAGTGTGTGTGTGTGTGTGTGTGCAGCAAAACCTTCTCTGGTTTGGTGTACAACAATGATTTACTTGAACAGTATAAATTTTACAAAATAAAATAAAATGCAAAAAAAAGAACGTACAAAAAGTAAAAAAGAGACAATCTTCTCAAAAACATGGAAATGGTTTAAAAATAATAAACCAACAGATTCAACAGACAGACGCCTCTCGGCACGTATTGCTGCTGAGGTTGCTTTTCCTGTGAAATGTGTTTGTGTCGTACTGAAATGAGTCGAATACTTGCTTTGGAAGCTGTTGGTTGTGCCACTGGTTAAGATTCCACACAAATCAATAATTCATCTGTCAATAATCATATTGTCAAGGCACTTATAATGCTAGTTGATATTAGAGATATAAAACTAAAGAAACACAACATGGGATACGTATGACGTATGAGCACTTGGTGGCCATCGTTTACAGCGATTCCCTTCTCTGATCCGCTGATATTTCCAGAATCATGTTAATTGAGGTAGATCACGGGACCAGATTAACACTCCTATGGATCAATCTGTGAGAGAACAGAGGGACGGTTACATCACCTCCAGACACTGTGAAAACACTGTTTCATGTGACTAGGAATCAGAGGACATTCACATTCAGTCACTGAATTAAAGCAAAGGACTTTGCATATGTGCTTTTTCAGTCAAGGCCTCAGTAGCAGTAAATGTGAGCGTGGCTATTAAAGCTGAGCTCACAATGGCAGCTCGATCTAACCAACAGAACCCACAGATTCTTAAAACATCGTTAAAAAAATAGTATTTCAAAGAGCAACTATCCCAGTTCATGTCAAACACTGAGATCTGCTCTGGTTAGGCAAAAACACATGGAAACCATCCTGTAAACGTTCCAGAGCAGTGTTCCTCAATCATAAAACACTACACTCAATACAAAGCACTGGGACGGCATCATAAAACATCTGCTTGCGTCATCATGTCTATCTGCTCTGTGGATTAAAGCTGTTTCCTCAACTGTTATTTCTCAGTGAAAATAAACATCTTTGATAATTGCATATAAAAACATTGTCGCCATGCAGCGACGATTCCTCTAATAAACACTCACGGCTGAAGTGAGCATTCACAAAAACGTCTTTCGAATCTTCCAAGCTCAGGAGGAAATGATTACATATGGCACAGCTGTCGTTCCCTTTAACACAATATATGAGCGACTTCATATAGTCTGACATAAAACAATGCATAGCTAGATTATATGAGTAAAGGAAACGCTGGTTAAAATAAAATCCCTTGATTCTTCTCTCAGGGCTACACCCGTCGAAGCACCAGCAAACACCTTCCCTTCTTAACCGACGATTGTCTTACTTTCACTTCCCTTTTAAAGCCCAGGGGCCAGTTGCACCAGCTGGACGTACACCCGGTTGTAAGACTAGGCTGGATGTAAAATGCGATTTAAGTCGTGCGTAGAATTTATACCCGTTGCACCATCTCGATGTAGTGCTACGTCTGACACTAAATGTTACGCCTAGTCAGAGGTAGGTGTAAAGTGAAAAGTCATGATTTGCTCGGACATTATTCGTTTTTAGGATTCATGTCTGTTAGTTAATTATTACTGCAGACGTGACCTGTAATGTTTATGGTCTTTTCGGGCAGGATAAGCGATATCAATCGCGAAGCTCTGTGCTATCCTACCACACTGTCGACATTGAATACAAAATATATTTCTGTCAAGCATGTAATAATTATGCAGTAAAATATTACATATGAACTGGGATTATTAAAAGAAACTGAACCATTTGACATCTTGCTTGGAAGGACAGTGTGCTTGAAAATATTTCACGTCTTTAATTCACGTAATTAATTATTTGTAGCGTGCCTGCCATCCAATAATTGCAATAAGTTTTGGGCTTTGTTACTTTTAATCAGAAATAAATTATCAGCTTTCAAATTCTGTGAATTTTATCACAAAATACAAACCATAAACGTGTTTTTTCAGCCACAGAAAGACAGTAAAACACAAAATGTCACGTAAAGTCACAATTCAGGAAAGACATTCATTGTACATAAACTTGATAGTCAGCTATAAGAAAATAACTCTAGAGAAGCATTGCTTGCGCCTGATCGTAGTTTCAGTTGGTGCAACAGGTGTAAATATTTATCGTAAAGCAGGACGTTGCAAAGCCCAGCGTAGGGCTTACACCCAGCGTTTTTACGTCTAGCTGGTGCAACCGGGCCCAGAAGCTCAGTACAAAAATATTCAAGGAAACTTTCTGAGAGATGCATAGCTCATAAATCACATAGGTGGAGAAGCCCTGTTTTATGCCCAGTCTGCATGTTCCTGCAGGGATAGAAAATCACATCAGGACTCTCCACACACACACACACACACACACGTCTGTCTGTCCGCTGTAAACACTCTCAGATGACGGACTCGGGCTCTTCGGGCTTCACCTCGACCTGCGCGCCGCTCTTGCTCTCCAGCATCTTCTCGGTGGCTTCGGTCGCCGGCTGCGCCTCCTTGCTCCTCCTCCGCGCCTCCACCCACGGGATCAGGCACAGCACGGCCCCGCCGATGATCGGAGGAATGCCTGCCAGGTAAAACGCCACGTCATAGCTGCCCAGACGGTCTCTGAGGAACCCTGCGCACAAAACCAGACAGACGACCGGCTCAGCTACGCCAGATTTAAGGCCATTGCACATTGAGTCCGAAATTCTCGTCCGAAATTTTCGCACGTTAAAGGTGTCATCGGATGCCCATTTTCCACAAGTTGATGTTATTCTTTAGGGTCTTAATGAAAAGTCTGTAACATAACTTAAAATTTCTCAATGGTAGTGTAAAACAACAACCTTTTTACCCTGTCAAAAACAGCTCTGTTCACAGCAAGCCGTTTTATTGCGTGCTGCTTTAAATGCAAATGAGCTTTAAGCTTTGAATCGCTCTGGATAATCCCACAGCTCCTTGATAAGGAGATGGAACTCTACGTTCTCTCTACACAATCTCTGGATTGGATAGACCCAATATTTCCTCTTTAAAAGAGAAAAATAAAGAGGAAATATTGGGTCCATCCAAGATAGAGGACAACAAAATCATCCACACAAGACTCCATTTCGTATTGTTTTGCGAATTTTTTTGCAACGGATTAATTAATATGCATTGGATTCAGTGTGCAAGGTTTCTGTGCATGACAAATTATTAGGATGATGAATACGAAAAAGACCTTTGCCGACTCTGTGTGCAAAGACCTTTACACCGAAAGACGCTTCCGAAGCTGCATTTAGGAGTCTTTACACAGACGTTTTTATGCTGCTCAGAGGTGGCATGAATGCATTTACACTGCAATTACTGCTGTGTGTTTGATACTACCCAGCAGGCACAGACGTCAATATAACGTCAGGATGACGCTGGACATGATGTCAGACAGACGATGCTTTTTGGTTGAGAATGAAAATCGGGTTGACGTCAGTATTTGACGCCAATTTGACATTGACTTAACGTTGGATTTTGGTTACACAACTGTAGGATATCAGACCGAATCAGACAATCTAAATATTGAAAAGAGAAGTATCTTGTGTTTTGTGCTTACAAGTTAATGTCTTAAACTGCCGATCTTGTTACTGTGCTAATTAATAGTGTTTTCACTATATTTTGGATATAAATATCCATTGCAGAATTTATGTTATACGGCTCGTTCAATGAATCGCTGGCCGTCTCAGTGATCAGCCGTAAAACAGTGATTCGGTCCAAATTCCCTTTAAAATCTTAAATGATTCCCTTTGAGCTAAATTGACCTGTTTCCCTTACACAACCTAAAAACAACAAATATCAACATCAACTGACGTCGGTATTGGACATCAATTTAACATTGACATTAGATGTTGAATTGACATTGAATTTTGGTCACCTGATGTCACAACCAAAGTTTAACCAAATATCAACGTCTTATGGCATTGTGTGCCAGCTGGGTAGTGGCTGAGGTGGCTCAAAGCTGGCATAACTTAGTCCAGCTTTTATGCGGCATTGCATCTTTAAATCGAATGTTGAGCAGGCACAGAGCAGCTTTAACTGAGTTACATTACGATGTTGTAAATTAACTAATGAAAAATTTACAATGAAAAGTGGCACAGAATTCACACATTCAGGTGTCTTTTACATTTGAAACTGTTCAGAAGTGGCATAAACGCATGTACACAGCAATTGCAACTGTATACCTTAATAATAGGATCTGAGATGATACTATTTAGTTTGGCTATTATGCTGCATTATGTCTTTACACTGAATTTTGATCAGGCACAGAGCCGCATTAATTTGGCTGTAAAGATGCCTTGAATAATTGAGTCGTGTGTCTGTTTCACACTGAAGTGTAGTTCAACTTTCACCTAACTTTATTAGTGCCCAAGTACTAACTTTTAGAACTTAAATTTACAGTAAAAATAAAAAAATTCAAAATTCAAATTTGAATTGAATCAATAATTCATCTGTCAATAATCATATTGACAATTGCCCCCCCAAATTGTTAGTAACGGAATCCCAATTGCCCCGCTGCAATTGGAGCGCTTAGCCAAGCGCTAAATCGGTCTTTGTCAGGTGACGTCACACTCACGAGAATTGAAGTGCATTTTGGGTATCGCCGCCATTTGTAGGGTATCAAAGCCGAGGTGTTCTGTAGTTGGAGAATTGTCTTTTTTATTTGATTTAAAATGGTACGTTCTTGTTGTGTTAAAGTCTGCAATAGTGAATTACATGATAGACCCTCAACGTGTTTTTGCAGCGTTGAGCAATGTAACCAATCACAGATATCCGTTGATTTCTTAAACGCAATGGCCAATCAGAAACGTTTTGTCAGAATTTACTCACCGCTGAAAGCGCCGCAGTTTTGCACGCTCGTGAATCATCTCATGACTAAGTGCAGGCGCGATGTAAATAAGAGATTTATTGTGCAGTTTAGAGAGCTTCATTGATTATAACGGAACTTTATAAGATCGCGATGAATGAAGATGAGTGACGCTTTTTAGTGATAAAGGGAATACATGATATCCAATCAGCTTACCTCATCTTTTGCAGTCAAAACTGACTGCATCCAACGCAAGCAGCGTGCATGTGATAGGATGGCCGCTGAATATGCTGCTTTAACAAATCACGCTACTGTTCAACGTATCTTAAAGTAGATCTTCACTTAATAGCATGAAGAGCAAATATTGACACGCAGTTCAGCAATGAATGGTATGTGATTTATGACAGAATATAGTCCCACAACTAATCGTTTATTTTTTCCTCACGTGTCCCGCCTTTAGTAACAACGATTCAAAACATTTCAAGTGACACGAGAAAACGACACGGAAAACTTCAGTGAACATCAGAAAAGCAGCGTGCACATTTCTGGTTAAAAATGAAAGGCGATCAACTGACAAACGGAAAGCATCACCATTTAAGTCAACACGAAGAGCCAAAGCTAGTCCACAGTTTACTAAACGGTGGCAACC